CTTATTAGGATTTTCGGACTGAGAAATGTGAAATAACAACCGTACCTTTGTGGAGATTCGAGCCATGGTTCTTCTACTGCTAACTGGACGTACTAAGCATTAAACACCACGAGAACATCACGAAAGGAATGTGATAAGACCTTGGATACGGACTTAAAAGACATTTAAAAAAGAAAAATGTAAACACTGTTGGTAGTTTGCAGTGGTGAATGCTCGCTTTTATCAAAATACTTGGCAAAAACTAAAAGTGAGCATTTACAAGCAATTTTCGGGTTATAACTTAGTAGTAAATAATCGCATTCATTATAACGTAACTAGCAACGGAATAACTGGGTTGAGGATTAAATTGGTCTTGTTTAAAAAACGTTAAATTTGTTTGTTATGGAAAGATAAAAAAACGGCTGTCAAAATAAAGCAAAATTTTTGTAGGGCACAAAAAAAAAAAAAAAAAAAAAAAAAAAAAAAAAAAAAAAAAAAAAAAAAAGGTGAAAGGTTTCAGATTTTAAATTACGTCTAAAGGGGCGTTTTTTAACGTTTTTTGTGCTATCTTTATTTATTAAAAGTTGAAATGAAATGATGTTATACGTACTCAAACTATAAAATTCAGTTCAACAGCAGTATCGCAAATTACTTTTAAAATGAAGCATATCTTTGGAATTTCCGATATAGAGTCTCGAGCGCTGAAGATAATTTCCCCCCCCCCCGTACAGTGTTACCATTGCTTGCTTTGAAATCTTTTAGTTTTTTAATTAAAAATTCGTTATAGTGTTACAAAATCTGAAACCGATAATAAAACAAATTTCAAATTCAAATTAGGGCTTCCACATGCGCATATTCTATGGAAGATTACGTTATTCAAATTTTGATGGCTCTAGGTACCTTTGTTTTATAACAATGCGAGAAACATACATACAGTTATGCAGATTCTTCATTATTTAATTTCTTTAAATATAAGACAGGGCGATAACATGTGATGGCAACGATTTGAAAAGCGTTTCAAAGTTTTCAACGCAAAATGCCAAAATGAAATTAATAGTCCTTCAGAGCAAATTGCCCTTTTGGACTAAAAAAAAAGTGCATGACATAACAGCAGTGATACCAGATGATGCCACAATATTTAGGAACTGTTTTTGACAAAATGCACAGTCATTAATATTCCGTTTCCTAATGATCCCTATCGAAATGCAAGACAAGTATAAAGAAAAAAGTTCCTTTGTTTGTTTTCAAGTGTGTTCTGCTTACTTTGAATGCTGATTAAATTAATGGAACCCAATGAATTTATTCTCCAGATTAAACTTATTGATAAAATGAAAACAGGTATACACTGATAATACACCTTTACATTGAAAATACTAGTAACTTGTTAATATTATATTTTATTAATTATAATATTCCTCTCTCATTGGATACCTTTTAACTGCTGTTAGGTTATCCATGGACGTCGCCCCCAGTGTTACTAACCTAATCTGGAGTCTTCTATATTTACAAGCAATATCTAGAATTTACTTTTTTCCAAGTTTTTACTATAGCATATATACAAAATACTTTTTAAAATTTAATTAATATCTTCTCGATGCATTTAAAATTTTATAAGTACTATAACAGGTTTATGTTATTAAAAGATAAATACTCTAATATTTTTAATTAGTTAACTTTTAAAAATAAAAACTTAAACATTTTCCTTGCTGCTCTCAAAAGTTTTTGTTATATTTGCTTTCTTCTCTTTCCTGTGAGCTGCGTCTGTATTTCGAGAATTCCCTGGAATAACATAAACACGCTCAGAATGTCTGAAAAACTCGCATTAACCTGACATTCGGGAAAATGATTTAAGTTTCATTTTAAGTAAATTTTGAAATTCTCATTGCAGAATTACAGAACTAAACTACAGAATATAGCAGTGCAAATGAATCGCAGAAGGGGTATAAGCACACTTAACTGTTAACACACGCAAATATATTAAAGAATGCCTGAAGTTTAAATTTAAATCGATCTAATGAATACTGGGATGTTGCAGTCACAAAAAAGTTATCAATTTATATAACGTGATTAAAAATACCTGGCAAAACTGTAAAGGTTGGTAGAGTTCACCGAAATAAGCAGATTTTGTAATGGAATATGTGCGTCCAAATGACACATTGAGGTAGAATAGAGGATTGTTGAGTGACAAGTAAAAGGCCTCTGCTGGCCTTGTCATTCCGTAGACGGATTTCGAGCAATATTCACGGCTACACGAACGTGAAACTCACCGACATGCATTTTATCTAAAGGACTGCGGCTAAAAACAGAACAAAAAAAGTACCGAAAAATAACAAAAAAAGGTACTACAAATACTTCCCATTAGCTTCTTTGAGCAGTTGGTTCATTTTCATCCGTAGTCCTACAGATAACTGACGAGCTCAGCATTTGTGTAACGATACATGAAATCCGCACAGGAAATGACAATTTACTCCAGCAGAATGGAGACCTACCACTCAAAGCGCCCTGTGCGCAAAAATAGCGCCTCGGTGCCCCATTTATACATCCATATTCCATTATAAAATCTGATTATTTAGATCCCCTTCACCTGCCTTTTCATTTTAGCCAGATTCTTAGGAATCACCCTGTATATATGTAAAGGAAGAGAAAGAAGCCTAAGTAAAATTTAAAATTAGGCACCTTATATAATTCCCGGTGACTTTAGAGAATGAATATTAAGCAGAATCACAGCCTCGGTATTCATTGATATGATTATAAACTTTAATTTTGATTTTTTTGGTACTAATTGTTTGTAAAATATGACTACTCGCTATGTGGACTTTTAATTTATACTCACTTAATACAGCAAAGTACTCAGCAGCCGTTGTATATCAAAAACCTCTGAAATATAAAGAGAAACCATACTGACGAATGCTTTGTTTCCCCTTCCACTTCAGACACCGAGGAGTCAATAATACAATCGACCCTCTCGAGAGCAGTTATTGTTCTAGCGATCAATCATGCCACAGAAGTAACTGCTCCAAAAGAAATAAAAGACGGAAAACTCCAATATTTAGTAAATGCTGGCGCGATAACATGAAAGGAAAGCAATCTAAACTTTCGCCTATCGGGAATAATCAAAAGAGTTCTCTTAAACTTCAGTCCAATGCAATATTTGAGATATTCGACTATATTAAAAGGTTAATTTAAGTTTTTCTTATACAGAGTGTTCAGAATCGGTTGCAAGTGGGTTTTTATTTAAATAGTTCTCATATAGTCTACAAAGTGATCTAACAGTCGAGCCTATCAAATTTTAAAAAAATTTGGAAATTGCAGAATGCATATTAATAACGAATTGTTTCAATGGATGGCATCCTTTTATTGTTACAAGTAAAGCGTCACTTGAAATTTTAACTAGTGTTAGTTTTCAAAGCCACTGGTTTGATGCAAGATGAGGATGATATTTCCCTAGCCAGAACGAATTTTTCTGATTTAGCATTACTTCGCAACTCATAAATTTCATTGCGATGCTATGATTCTCACACTCTGGAATATTTTATTCCTGACATCGTCCGTTTAGTATGAACTCAAAAGAGATAGGCTGCCACTCCGTTTCATAGGATGAACGCTTCTAGTTTTCGAACTCAGGTTACAAAGCGCTAAATCATCATCTTGTTAGGTTCAAGAACACTTGGGAAGATGCACATATTACTTCCAACTTCTTAAAGACTAAGGCTACTAAAGCTAATTATTCCTCTTAATATCTCGGAACTCATTTTCAGCTGTAGATAATAAATTACTCATATATAAGACCGTGTTGCGTCCCATCATTACATATGCTTGTCCAGTACTTTAAAATGCAACGCACATATTACAAGCAGCAGATTGGTCATTAGGAATAGGACCCTTCACCAGAAGTACGATATATGGCCAAATTTATGGCTAAACTCTCAAGAGATTTTTTTAGTAATATCGAAAAAGGTTATCAGTGAGTCAATTCCTCAGTTTGACAATGATTATAGAGAAAATATGAACAGAAAAAGGCGTAGAGCGGTGCTCCTATATTTAAACTAATTTTATTTTCTTCATCATTTTGTCTATGACAACCCTAGCCTTGTTAGAATACATGACTGTGGACCGATAGGTCGGCAGATCAAATCCAGCTTTATTAATCAAATCCAGCTTAATAATTGTATTCACTATATTTAATTATATTAACTTTTTAATTTTTGATATTTATGATCCCTGCATTACTCACTGCTCTCAACCAATAGCTAAGTTCTGTACCGACGTCACAGTCTACATCACCATAGTTCCCCCTACTTGCCATGCATAACAGTTTTCAACGACCTGATATCTTCATGTTCAGTTTTTTTTTCTTCTAACTTGCACTGAAATGACTTAGCAAGCTTTTCTTCAACATCTGGAATAAATCTCTCTCTTTCTCTCTCGCTTTTTTTAAAAATTTTGGCGCTGGTATCTTAACCATGCTATCCAAAGTACAATCTATTGTTTCTGATAATTGCTACGTACAGGATCGAACAGAAGTCCTAGCACCTGTACTAAGTGACCTGGTCACTTAAATCACTTCGAAAGATCCCTTTAAACGTTTCGATAAGAAAGCGTTTGCGAAGTAATGATAAAATTTCGTTCTGCCTGGGACAACCGTAAGGATGATGAACAAGATGATAATGCAGCTTAACGTTATGGTGGCACGAAAGGAAAGACTAAGCTTGATTTCTAAGGTCAGTAACAAATTCCATTAGCTGTAAAATAATGCTAGCTCAGAAAACTGCACTTCATACACAATAATATTATTTTGTGGTAGCATATGCTACCAAAACTCTTTCGAGATTGACACCGCGTCAAGCATTATGATTACATTATTCAAAATCAAAACATCAGGGAATTGGACTCGAATGGATAGTTTTCTATCAATTGTCTCCTATTAGTGATGGCCTAAAGGAATGCAATGAGACAGAAATGTAAGCTATGATGAAAATAATATGTAATGCGATCTGTTCTAGCAAATAAAAGATGCTTACCAGCTGACTCTTTGCCATCTGTCCATACAAGATTTCTGGCTTTTACCAAGACGACAGTTAATCGTTCGGCAGTAGGGAGGTAGCTTAGAGAAAATAGCAGCTCTCCACATCCCACGGGCTTCTGAAAATATATAATTAATTATTTCTACCATAATGTATAGCTTCTCTACAGTATTTATTCAGGAACTTGTATTAGGTAAAAGAAAAGACAGCTTTGGTCAGATTATGTGAAGTGCTATTACAATAAATTTTCCTAATATGTGTTCTTACCTAATGATAAAAATAAATCACTTACTAGATTTTGAAGAATAAAATATAATAATAGATTATAGAAATAGTAAAGCATATAAACTTGCATTTATCAGCTTAAGATTAAAATGCAGAGGGTGTTCGCCCATTTTTTAGCCGATTTTTGCTTGAAAAAAATCGTCCGCTTGGAAATTATTTTAAAATTGCAACTATTTGTTTGAAAGAATAAATCATTGTCAACTGCTTGACTGTTTTGTTTTCGTGCAAAATGGCGCTTTTAAAGATGCAGTAGATGGAAGGCTATGTTTGGTTCTTTCCGAAGAAAATTATTTGTATCTAATTATTAAAAAACGCTGTGAAAGCCATGGGTTTTCGATATTTAAAGCGGCGATACGTAATATTGTGAACATGAAAAGCAGTAGGAAAAAAAAAAAAAAAAAAAAAACTGAAATGTTTCAGATTTTAAATTACGTCCAAAGGGGCGTTTTTTAACATTTTGTGTGTTACCTTTCTTTATTAAATATCATGGTCCTCGCACTTAAACCATAAGATCCAGTGCAACAGCCAATATCGCAAAATAGTTTTAAACGAGCATATCTTTAGAATTTCCGATACAGAGACCCACGCGCTGGAGATAAAAATGTTTTCTGCACAACGTTGCCATTGCTCGCTTTGAAATCCTTGAGTTTGTTAATCAAAAATTCGTCAAGTTTAAAAATAGGAAATCGATCATAAAACAAATTTCAAATTTCAAATTTGGTCTTCCACATGCTCATATTCGTTGGAGGATTACGTTATTCAAAATTCGATGACTCTATGTACCGTTGTTTTATCACAATACGAGAAATATACATACATTTATGCAGATTTTTCATTATTTAATTTCTTCAAATATAATGCAGGACTCTAAGATTTTGTTGCAACAGTTTGAAAAGTGAACCGACATTTATGAGTCCGACGCAAAACGCCAAAACGAAACTAATAGTTCTTCGGGATTCAAATCCCTTTGGACTAAAAAAAACTGACAAAGTTTGGCTTTAAGTGGAAAAATTTTTCAAATACATATGCAAAGAAAAAAACGGAATGTGTGTCAATAGTAAACAAAGCGATTAATTCTGATTTGTATCTTTAAAAGGCAAAAAAATATAATGTGCATCGCCTTTCTCTACGACATATCGCCGAACGTAGAACGCGCTGCAGAATTCCTTATGAGAAACATCTATCTGGACAAAAAGGAAAAAATAATGTCACAATAGTATCACAATAATGTCACAATATTGAGTGTATTTAAATGACTACAATAAAAACGTATCCATTTATTATCATCAAAGAAGAGAAAAAGTCTTAAAGGCATAGTTCAAGGAATCTTAAGAAAGTTTTTCAAAGGGATTGATGATTTTGGCTGGTTTTTCACATGATGTCAAATTAAAAATAAAGAAAGAGGAGAAAAATATGAAGATGAATTCCGCATATTATCAGAAATATATTTTATACCCAGTTTTCAAATATGAAATCCCTTCTATTTACCAACAGTGCCATTAAATAAAAGTGTATCAAAACAAAGAAAACAGCCACACGTCAAAATCCATAATTTTCTTGAAAAAATTCTCATACCCTTCACTCATATTCCTAATAAATCTTCTGATCTGTCGCGCATGGATGTTTGGGGTTTTACACTTTTAAAATAAAGTGGATTGTTCAAATATCGGCCAACAACCCTCCTTTGACTTTGGTAAGCTGTTCAGGTGGAATGGGATAAAATACCTCTTTCGATATTAAAAAAGGCTTTATTTATTGTTTTGAAAAGATAGTGTGGAATAAGGACTATCGAATAGAACATTTGAAATGTAAAAATTTTAAGTAAAATATTTCTGTAAATACAATGAAAATCATCTAACAAATATCCGAACTTCCTCTGTATACTATACAACTTATTAATAGACAAGCTAGGTTTTGTATGATGTTGATTAAAAAGAAAATGAGTTGTTAAATCAGACATAAATGTATGAGCAACTGGAATATTTTAGCATCAGTTTTCAAATATAAAACCTATATTATTCAGTCCATCTCCATCATCATTAAAAAAGAGAGGAAGTTGTTCACAGATGACAGGTGATGGAGCACGGGGACACTTACTGTCTAACAAAGCTAAGCAGGTATATGTCGCACGCCCTCCACTATCTTAAACCGGCAGCTCCCGAGACCCAGGAGGTCTACCTCGGGAATGCAGAAGTTGTTCACAAAATAACTGTCTCCTTCAGATAACCGTGTAAATTTTCGCATATACCGTATTTATTTGCATATTACACTCTTTTCCTTGCTATCAGGGAAGGAGTAAAATACGCCGGTATATTGTTTCTAAACAGAAGGCTTAGATGATAAAAGTAGCACATTAAAAGTACACATAAAAACACACTAATGTTACTACAATGTGTATTTCAAAAGACTTATTAATTTTAATAATATACACTTATACAGAATACTTTCCTATTTGTGCACACATCTCAAAATTTTACTTAGTAAACAATTTGCAGCACTAACAAGGCATATCTCTTGGTCTCATTTCATGACCCTTGATCTTTTACTCCGTTGAATGTCACCCTTTAGTAGATATATCATCTTCGTAGTATTATCGTTTACGGACAGACCAAGAGAGCAAGTAGCTCAAGTTTATAAAATAGTTCATGGGTTTTCCTGAGCTTTAATGAGGTTTCATAAGCGAAATGCTAATTCAGCTCAGTGGATGGCTACCCATACCCCCATGTAAAAGTAAAAAAGTCCCGGGCCCTATGGGCAAAGTTCCCTCTAGGGTGCGCGATTGAAATACCGCGCACTAATTTTTCGAAAGCTGTGCAGCCGTTTTTGTATTCTGCTCCCAATGGGTTTGTTCACTATTTTTTTAATTTTATTTTATGAAAGAATCGCATCTAAAACTGGCAAAAATCCAAATTTAGCCCACACACACTGTGTGTGTGTGTAATTTAATAAAATTTAGAGTGTTAAATTTTTTTTTTTTTTTTTTTTAATCAAAGTGGGGACTTTCCACTTGCACACTTTTACGTACGTTTTGAAAATTTTTGCTCCCATATACTTTTATACCGCGCAGTCAGCGAAAAAATTAGAGGGAACATTGCCTGTGGACCTAAATGTTAACCAAGGTCTGGACTGGCAGTTTAGTCTGACGAAAGTGTTTTTGTACATATTGTCAAATAAATTAGAAACACCCCTAGTTAAAGTAAACATAAACCTAAAGATAAAAGCATAACGCTTATATTAAAAACAAGTTCAATGTTAATGAAGCATATAAGGTATTCTGGCCTGAATAACATAAATTGGACATTTTAATGCATCAGTTATTAATAACCTCAATTCTGCTTGGAAATTTATTTAAAGACTACATCCTGCTAATCTTTTCGAACTACGTTAATTAATTAATTTTCAATTAATCTCATTGCATTAGATGATAAAAGCAGCCTCTTTCATGTGCACGGAAATATTGGTAATCATCACAGAGAGATTAAATGGTTTTGATTTTTATCTTTCATGACAAAATGGATTATTTCCCAAGTAAACTTCACAGGTTCTAATTATAATTCACCAAATTCATAATTCACCGACAGCAAATGTTCCATTCTTTTCTCCGGAAGAATTCCGAGATTAACGCAGAAGCTCTTTACGTTAATGGACATTGTGGAAAATTTTTTAAGACGTGTTCCAGGGAAATTGCATTCACTGGAAGCATGGACGAGCCTAAGGAAATTTTTGTGAACCGGAAATCTATTAAAGGAAGGTTTATTTCTCAAATTGCCTTCTTGAAGGAAAAAGATTGAAATTTCCTGCTTACTCACGTCTAAAGAAAAATGGAGTTGTCACGATTTTATTTAGTTGATGGGTTTGTCAAAGAGACTGAGTGGTTTCTTTTCCCGATGCACTTTACGGCGACGCAGAAGAGAATCTGAAGAAGATTGGCATCTAACAAGATACTTTCGTATTTAATAGATTTAGTTAACCTGATCGACTTTACTATTCAAGGTAGTAATTCAGTGACTTCTTGCTGTAGAATCCTCCTCCATTAAAACAAACCTAAGCAAATTTTATAAAATGAATCTTTTTTGTAATGTTTCTCAGTTTAATTAAATACATTCTTCACGTATGTAATTTAAATCGATCGCAGATTCAAAAAGACGTATCAACCAAAACTTACTGTAATTCCCATTTATTTTTAATGCATTTCAAATTATTCACAATGTGAAAGCAAAATGATCTCATGTATCAGGATGGGTACCGCACATAAATATGAAAGGTAATAAAACAAATTTGCTTGAAGTTTAAAAATCGAATTAAAACTGATACCTCATTTTTTTATTTGGGAATCTGGTTTCTCGTAACATGAAGATATAATCTTTTAAAATGGTTTTGTTGTAATACTTTGAAAATTATACTACAGAGGGTGTTTATATATTTTAAGAATGATTTCAAGGCCGTTTAACGTTTAAAATGTTAAAAAAAAAATAAATGTTCGATTTGATAACATTTTTCTGGATCATGAGTCCGCACTGTGATTTCAATGATAGAAGGACTCTTCGTAAAATTTTCAGGGGTATTGATTTAAATTCCTCTTTTACTCTTTTCCAGAGTTCATTAATCGTGAATGGCTTGCACCTAGAAAAGGGCTTGCACCTTTTCAAGAAAGCAAAGACACAAAAGTCCATAAATGAAACGTCAGGGACTTCGCTGCAATAGTTGTTAAGATCTTTATTTTAATCTTCTCAAGGAATAAGTGACATTTTTTGCATTATTCTTATTTTTAAATTCCCATTATTAAAAAAAAAAAATAAATAAATAAAAATAAAAATAAATAAATTGTAAAAAATTATAAACCCCTTGATGAAACTTTCTTTGCATTGACTGAATTAGGTTTGTCTATTTTCTCTCTCCGTTTTCAATAATACGAGGAAATTGGAACTTTATATTTATAAATTGGAACTTTAATAGTGGCAACACAGCTGAAAAAAGGCTATGCAAAAAACCAAAGAATATCACGTATACCACACGTGAACTTACATACCTACCTTACCTCTCATCAAAAAGACTCGTCCTGCCTACGTAACGCGCATGCGGAGTGACGCGAAGAACGGATCCTTGTATTAGCTCGCGGTCTAAAGTAAGTGTTGTCAGGATGTTTTCAGAAACAAGAACAACGATATTGGATAAAAATTGAATGTGCCAGAGGTCGTACAGCACGACAGGGTCATCAAGGGCTTCAAGAGGCTTGCAGGGAATCTGCATTGCCTTACAGAACCGTAGCATGATGGTGAAAGCATTCAATGAAGGACGCCAAAACATGGCAGACGTGCTGCGGCCAGGTCATCCGAGTGTCAGCGATGCAGACGTGCAAGCTGTTGCCGCACTAATGGACAGTGATTGCCGCCAAACGATTCGTCAGCTGGCCGGACAAACGGGATTAGCGCATACGACTGTGCTGCACATTCTGATGGAACGCCTGTCCATGAGAAAAATTGCTTCACGATGGGTTCCACATCAATTGACGGAAATGCAGAAATGGCTACGATACGATCCTGCCCGAACCCACCTGGAGCGCTATGAGCGCGAAGGAGATGCTTTTTTACGCCGTATCATTACGCTGGATGAGACTTGGGCCCGATCGTACCAGCCAGAACTGAAACGCCAATCAAACGAATGGCGTCATCACGGGTCACCACGACGTTCGAAATTTCGTCAGAACCCCAGCAATGTGAAAGTTATGGTGATTCTCGTTTATGACTGTGATGGTGTCATCCTAACGCATACCGTTCCCCCACAGCAGACCGTCACTGCGCAGTATTACTGCTCATTTTTTGGAGCACAATCTCCGACCAGTTTGAGAAAAAAACGGCGACACTTTCTGCAGAACACTCCTCTCATTTTGCATGACAATGCTCGGCCGCATGCAGCGCAAGCTGTGACTGATTTGTTCAAGCGATGGGGCTGGGAAGTGGTTTACCATCCACCATACTTCCCAGATCTAAGCCCTTGTGACTATGACTTAATTCCTAAGATGAAGGAACCACTTCGTGGCACTCGCTTCCAAACTGTTCCTGAGACTCTTGCGGCAGTAGACCGGTCCATTCAAACTATCAACAAAACAGGCGCTGCTACAGGTATTCTGCGACTTCCACATCGTTGGAAACGGGTTGTACACAATGCTGGCGACTATATTGAAGGACTGTAAAACATGGTGACATGAATCACTTTTGTATTCCTTGTAAATAAATAGTTGCCACTATTAAAGTTCCAACCCTCGTAAATAAACCTATTTTTTTTCCCCTGTCATTTAATTAAACGCATGCTTTTATCAAGGGTCACAATATATTTTCATTTATCTCCTGCTGAACAGTTTCCATATGAGCCACATGCCTCAACAAAAGCTAGTGAACATTTTGTTTTTCCTTTTTTTTTTTTTTTTAAGTAGTAAATCTTGGTTTATTATTGCTGCCACAGTTGTATTTAAAGATTTTAAAACTGATTTCTGCATCGGCGGATTTACTCTTGCTACCAACGATTTAATTTTAGACGCACTAGGAACAGTACGTTCCTTTTTCGGTATTTGTTTGGAGTATTTTTTTTCATGTAAAAATAATGAATAATAGGTTTTCTTTTTCCCATCAATAATGTAGCTTATTTTGCCCTCAGAAATTTTAATAAAGCGCAAAAACATATCCGCCAATTCACATCTTTTTCACAGGCGGCATTTTGAAAGAAGAAATTTAAACGCATGAGTATTCCTGTTGTTGTTGTTTTGTCCATGAATTTCATGGAAAGAATGTTCGGCAGAACTTCAAAGAATTGGACTTCTCTTTTCGACCCAGTTCTGAGGAAGAGCACTCCAGCGGGTGGTCCGTGGGTCTCCCACCCCTCTTCCCTATCAAAAATCCACAGGAGAGAATACTCAGCTAGCCATATATTTAAAGTGGACCCATGCCGCAAAGCTACTATACATTTACAAACATCCGTGCCTTCTCCAGGATTCTAACCCCGGGCTGTTAGGTATCGTATTAGGCTCTCCTAACCACTATACCGACTGGGCGAAGGCGATATTTCTAATTTGAAATAAAGAGGTGTGGACAAAAGTTTTTATTAAACAACATTTACATTAAAAAAATTCTTTATCGAATTCATTCTAAAAATGTGTGAATACCTTCTGTATATACTACCACTTTTTGACACTTATAATTTTTATTATTAAAAACTCTTCGAAGATATTTTAATGCATATAATGTAAAATTATAGATTTGTAGGAAGGATCAAACACCAAATGCCCATGATTTTAATACTCTTTGATTAAAATTAATCAAATCTAAAAAAAAAAAAAAAAAAAAAAAAAAAAAGAGCTTTTTAGTGAAACAGAATGGAATAACTTCATGGTAAATATCAAAGAAATATATTTTATAAAGGTTAGTTGCTATTTGAACTAAAATATTTTAAAAATATAATTTTTATTTTCTCTTTCTTTTGTTTTTCACTTATTTGTTTCTGAGAATCAGTGCTTTGATTCTAAAAAAAATACTGCATAAATTTATGGTGTAATAAATGAAATAAATGTCTAGATAATTTTAACGAGACAAATCTTATTACTCACTTCTAAGGTTGATAAAAGAACTAGGAAACACCTAATGGGAGAAAGAAATTCTTTAAAAGTTCTGTATAATTGCTGTCTAATATAATTTAAGATTATTTGTCTTTATACATCCTGCGCTCGAATTTGCTTCTGGTTTTCCCTTTAGAAATTTGCCATCGTACACAACATGCGGTTCTTTTCTGCTTTCCTTTTTCCTCAATATATGGCATTAGATGTTTGTTTCACATTGCTAATACCATCATCAGTAAAATAAAAGCGGAAATATATCATAAAGTAAATAATCTTTCATTATTCAGTGTTGAGCCTCATAATGACTTAATTAACCAATAATTCAAAGGTTATTATTAAAATTTTCAACTGCTAAATTATTTCCAGAAAATAAATCTTTTCCGCTTTATTAAATTACAAAAATTAAAATTCATTAAAAGGTCTATTGTATTAATTCAAAAAACTGCAAAGCAAAATTACTACTTAAAATTTGGTAAAATTTAATTTTCTATCCGCACAATTTACAAAGCAAACAGAAAACTCACCATCTAAATTTTTAAGAAGCGAAATAACAAGGCATATACAAAGAACATGCTAAATAAATTTCAAATATGAAATGAAAAGGATAGGCATCCTTTGTACTTACTCTTTGAGTATCCAACAAAGGTAAACAGACACTATATGGCTGGTTTAGATCAACTTCAGAAAGTTTGACTTCAGCTTGTCCCAAAATAGTGTTGCTGTATTTATCACAAGTATAAGCTATACACTTTAATATGCGTTCTTTTAGTGTACTTTTAGGGGCACTGAATAAGAAGCGCTCTTTATACTCTGGATCTTTATTATTACGTTGGACCTGTGGGTAAAGAAACAGATGTGAAAGTTAAAGATGAACTCAAATTCAAGATAAGATATATTATTTAAGATACAGTAAGCTATTTCAAATAAATTGAAAATCTACACAAATAAAGAAGAATATCCGTTTTTTTTTTTTTTTTTTCCAAACAAATCTACAGTTTTATTCCGGTTTTGATGAAATCTGGCACACTTGTCCTTCAAAACAAGAAGGTCACTCTCTATATTTCCAGAAAAAGACATCGATAAGAAAGCAAATATCAGTTCTTAATAAAACCGTTAGGTGGCACCGTGTTAGCTATCTATTAAGAACAGTGCAGAGTTTATAAGATTCCATTATGTTAATTTAGTCAGTTACTATAATTTAGATTTTTACTGTCTCTTCTCCTTTTCGTTTCCCTACCAGAATTCAAATCAGGTTAGGAGTATTTAAGCTCTGGTTTTTCGGATTGTAAGACAGAGGCATGTTTCTACCACGTTACTTAGTTTCTGCTATCTCAGATAAGATTGTATTCTTCGGTTTTGCATTATAGTTGCCGAGATTTAAATATTAAGCCGGTGAGACGTTAGAGCCAACTTCGCGTGAAATCAGTTGCGTAAGTCTTTGGCTTAGAATACTGGGTTTTAAATCTTGAAATTGACTGTTATTTTAAATTACATCGCGCCACAAGTGGTTGGCTGATTTTGTTAAGCACGAAACGTACATTTATATTCCAGTTCTGATTTAATAAAAAGATTTATTCTTCTTAAGATATTGCAGCTCTTTTTCAGACACAGCAGTAATTCCCTGTACGTCTGCACGGAGTTAGGACTTGGTTTTTGCTACCAAAGAACAGCAAGCTTTATAAACTTTCGGGAATAGTGTCGAACCTTTAGAGCAAAACTGAAATGCGCTTTCTATCAGCTTTTTGCGAGGACTTCATTCAATCCCGGGAACGCAATTTCGGAAAAGTGGCTCCATACCCCTAATCGTTTGTTGCTCAGTGTTCCACTACATGGAACACCCAACTTGAATCGCTTCTGAAACCGTTAAATTCAATCATAAAGGGATAAAAGTACCTTTATAATATACTTCGAACTTCTCTTTTTAAATAGTCGATGGCAGCATATCACAAGGAGACCTAGAATTTTTATTTATGATGTGTTATTAAAATCCACTTATTCTCTAGTAATTTTCTATATTTTTGGCGATAAAAAAAATTTGTTTGAAAAACAATTTCCGTATAATTTCGATGGCTGTACTCTATATTATTTGTTATATATTTTTTTACATTTTTCATAAAAAAAGCATGCGCAGAATCATTGAATAAAACGGGGTGCTCCATTTGCGGGAATCTCATGCTATTACGCATCACAACATCTGTCTTAGGAGAAAACACCTGTTGTATATGTTTTCTATTTACGTTGTTTTGGAGCAACGAGTTCGAACAAAGCAGTCTTGAGGAGTGAGGTGTGGTTTGTGCTGTGAAAGCCCTAATATGGTCATCTTGAAATTTTCGTGAGTAATTTTCAGGCGGGATTTTTATCAGTAGCTCGAGTCATCTTTACTTAGAGCTGCGCGAATTTTTTGCTGTCGCTTTTTAGTTTCATTCCCGTTTTTTTCATAATTTGTGTAGATATTTTTTTGTGTAGTATCTAAGCTTATTTTTTCTTTCTGCCAGTTTTAATGTAAATAATTTTTTATTATTAAAACTTTTCATAAATGGCGCGGAGAGTCTCTCTTCCGAAGCGCTAAATGCTTCATGAATTACCCTCTTTCTGAATCAGAGAATGGAAGATAGCAGCGATACTGAACCACTTGTGTTTCTATCGGATATGTTGAAAACTCATTTATTTTGATGAAAAGGTTGATGATTCTCGACCCGGCCCTCTACTCAAGTTTTTACTTGGAATTCTAAATTTATTGTTGCACGGAACAAGAAACCGCACAAAACAAGTTTTGTTTTCAAAACCTGCAAAGTTGGTTTGTGCTTCTATCAAAAAGGTGCGATATGCTTTGAACAATTTCACAAAGCTAAGAAATCGAAAAATTGGTAAATATCTTTGTATATAAGACTCGTGTATATACATATATTTATCTCATTTACCCACATTTATTCAAGAATGTTGTGTATATTCAGAAAATCATCTATACAGCCATAATACAGTGTAAAACGCTTCTACTCATTTGCGTGCTTCACTGCAATGCTTGATTAGTCGCACTTTTAAAATCTCTGGCGCGCAGTGTTCCACCTCATGGAACACCCACAGAATTAAAACGGTAAGTGCAATTTATACAAAATTTTACTTGTATACTACTTTAGGCCTAGATAGATTGCTTTCATTTTGTTGAAATTCGGACTTTAAAGTATAGTGCGCCACAAAGGGTTTCTATGCAACTAAATGAAGCTTCTTTACCCTGCTTAAAACTTGGGCAATGCTGGGCACTTCAATTAGTACACTATTAAATTTGAAATAATTAATGGAGAGATACGAACAAAAGTCAAATTATAAATGCAAGTGAAATGTTAAACGTTGAAGAATACGGCACTTTTAGGAGCAGTATTACACTGTGAAGTAATATTCTAATGCCAATTGAAAAGACTGGAATTCACAAATTTCTTACTTTTGTCTCCTGATCCGACTTTATCTGAGGCGTTCTGTTGCTACTGAAGGCAAAGTTTGCATTTCTATCAAGATGCCATATCTGTTGTTATTATTTTAATTTTTATTACTTACGTATTATGCCGTCGACCGGGAAAGTTGGGTACCATTGAACCATGAAAGTTGGCGAAGATCCTATTAAAAGTGCACCAATCATTCCCGCGGAATTATAAAAGTCCTGTTTCACAAACAATCAGCATTCGACGAGCTCCGATTTTGTCTTCCTAAAGCTTTCGTTGATTTGTTTACTGTGTTAGGCCCTTCAATGTTAATAGAAGCTCTGTTTAGAACGCATACTATATATAGTTTATACTTCTGTTAGAAGTATAAACTTCTCGCAAGTAATTGTTGACTGTTTTGTCGGTCACATTCAGTAACAATATGATATTCATTAATAACACATTCTTGAGGGTAGGATCCCATAGCTTTGAAAATAATTTACTGCTTACTGCGCCAGAACTGTAACTGCGCTGTAGAAGGCAGATCTCCAATTTTAACCTTTTATTATTTTTTTCCATAACGAAAAAAAAAATAACAGTTAATTTATATCCTTATCCATAAAAACGAAACGTGACCGTATCGAGAATCAGTCGAGGTTATACAAATGAAAGCGCAGATGTTATGAATATATTGTTACGCCAAGCTTATCCATAACTGGCGCTAAAGCATGCTGCTTGACAACAGTTTCACGGTCGTCAGGATAATATGTAAGTACCGAATTTTTAGAAGCATGTATATTTATAGTTGTTCAGTAATAAAATCTTTTGATGGGTATAATAATTTTTTTTTGTCTATAGAAATTCAAATTCTGTAAAGGAACAATTTAATTACAGTTATTAATACCCATAAAAACACATTTTGTTCTTAATTCATTAAACCAGAAGACTTGATTTGTTATTGTACTTCTTCGATAGGAAAAAAAGTAATTGATTTTGATATCTAATCATAAATCTACGGATTTCTCATTTATATTACTACTTTATAAAATATCTTTTGGTTTCTTTATGTTTTCTAATTTTGTAGGTTTTCCGGTATTTCTATTAATATCTGATTGGGGAAATTAAAGGTTTGAGGTTTTGCCGTTTTGAGGACCGTAAAAAATTGCAGCGAAAATGTTTGCGCAAAAGTGCCAAATCTAGCAAACGTGCCCATTTAACAGCGCGCCAAATCTAGCGTACGCGCTGATTTCAAATTGCGTAAGTTTAGATAGTTCTATATTTCTTAAGACGCCATTGACATACTAGTTTTATTTTTAAATCTTTTTTTGATATCCTATGGATTTAACAATTTGGGAATTGCCCATGACGAAAAGTCTGAAATAGAATTTTTAGAAAGAAAAGACATCGTTCATTATAGAAAATTATGTTTGAACAACCACGAGATGAAATATGCTTTAGCGATAACTCTGTAGAAACAGCGATGCAGAAGTCATTCAGTTATATTTAGCCTTTTTTTTTTAAATTATAATAATTATCTGGAATAGTTATTTATTTTGTCCTTCCATTATGTTTAGCCTTTTTTATATAAATTATAATAATAAAAAAGTATTATATAAAATTAACCTTTCATCTAAATTAAAACACTAATCTTAAAATAGTTTTTAACTATTATACTTCCTTTTTAGCGTTAGGGTTGCCGCAATTATTTTAAGCAGCATTGGCATCAACAACAGTTTGGCGAATTTTTACAGTCCTCAAAACGGAATAGTACCAGAAATTCATATATATGTACAATATATTAACTACATAGGTTTTGTAAAGATTCTGAATTCTTAGCAATTGACGTTATAAAGGGGACTCGGTATCTTTTGAATGATTTTATTTATTTAAGAACTTTCACCTGTTTTTATTAATATTATTGAATGAATTTAAGCTGAAAAAAAATTTTTGCCGGTAATTTTTTTTTAATGTTTACATTTTTTGAAGAAACATTTAGCCATTAAAATGTTTTTCTTCTCCTGCAGTTTTCAATGCTTTTCCCCCAAATTTTTATTGTGTTTATGAGAATATTATACTTAATAACTTAACGGATTGATTTTGCAATTAACGAATATATTTCTGAGAAAAAAATAAAAGCGCATTTTTATGTAAAACATTTTGAAAAAAAATATCACCTCAATCACATTTTCACTTCCAATAATTTTTCTTTTCAGAATTTTGCAAAGATCATCCTTGTTTCTATGAAGTATATAATTTTAAATAACCAGTAAAAATATTAAATAATCTAGTAAATATCTGTATAAGTTTTAGGACTTTAAGTAAAAGGATTTATCAAAAAATTGCAAACTAAGAAAACGAAGTTTAAAGAATATAAACTGTCTAAATGGTCATTAAACCATTTCAAATTTCTTAAAAATTT